AGGTTCGCAGAACAAGATTTTGTTTCAAGGCGACTTATGGTCTACCCAAATCCCTCGGTAGAGCTCAGTTTCAGCATGACCTCGCCAAATCCTGCCTAATCTAACGGAAGGCTTTAGGTCCTAGCATTTCAAAATGTGTTATTTTGGGAGATGGGGCAAGGACGTACGTATGTCGTTCCCCAATGTGTTGGTCTGTAGACCACTACTGGCAATTTGCTTAGCTTGTGACTACTCAACCACGGTTGACTTGATTCCAAGCCAATCATCAAAAGTGACGCCAAGGAGAATCAGACGCTTTGTGCAGACTTTGTTTCATTCTCAAAACATGCGTGGTGCAGACTGAGGATGGTGTATCTTTTAGCATAACCGTGAAGCCTAAATGTTGTTTTCAACCCAACGTTGAACTACGAGGTCAATTCGATTTCTGCTTGAGATTTGTAGGCTTGTGCTCACGGGTAATGTTTTGTTTTTGCCTTCAAAACAACCAATGGGGCTGAGAAGAAGGACCAAGAGTTAAGTTAGGTTGGCTGCGAGTATTCGTCCGGTTTGGTCGCCGTCAAAACTACGTAGCCGACTGTGCACCCGATTTTATTTGGGGTGGGGGGTTGCATCTTTTCAAGTTGGTCAATTGGGTGCCGAGGGCTTAAGTTGAATCGGGTTACTTTTGGGTTGAAGGGGATGTTCCACACTCAAAGATATTGAAGCAAGCATCAATCATGACAAAATAAACTCACGTATTACTATTGGTGTACTTTTAAGTGAAAAAGATTGCTCTAGACAACACAATTCCTCTGTTTAAAAAGTGCCCTCCTCAGTACGTCACTGTTTGATTACGTCATCATGCTCTGCACAACAATGATTGAGAGCCAATGGACGGCCGTTATATCTGAAAATCGTGCTCACGAACGTTACATATGAACGATTCAACAATTACATTTTCCTCAGCCTGGATTGCCGCATAGCTAATGGAACGGCGAGATAAAATGACGTTTTTGCGGCGTCATGGATGCCTGGGTGATGTATAGTATTCCCGAGATACTCCGCACATCCCTACGGGCGCGTAGCTCAGAAACTAGAGGGGTTTAGATCTTGAGAACGACAGGGCCGCGAACTGCACCAAATGATCTTCAAAATAGCTAGTTCATGATAAACCCTCACACAAATAAGGAATGCTTATTTTAAGAACCTAAAAGCATATCATACGCAGATACCACATCTCAGTATGCAAGTAAAGCAAAGTATAAATCAGTAAAGCACACTCAGAACGTGACTCGTAATTTTTCCCAGGATTTCCAAGACATCTGTTCAGTTCTGACATGCGTTTGCGGGCTTCCAAAACTTTGAATATATGTAGTGTTTCCGAGTTAGCTGGATGAAGCACCACGCTCATTTTCCGGAGCAGAAAATGGAAAGCCAGCCATCAACGTCGCGGAAATAATACAGCCTCTAACTCACCCCAAGCTCCAAGCATGGCTTCTCACCAAACTTGCGGAAGATTCATCTCGGTAGTCATCTCTCTTCTGCAAGCGCTCGAATGATGAAGCGTAGGGTGAGCGTAGCCCACAAGCATTTAAGGCGGCCTTTCGCACTGGCACAATATAAGGAAGAACTCAGGGAAATTGCGTGTCTTCGTTCGCTAGGATTGCTACCTCGAAATGCGGCTCATTTCGACAATTCCGGGAACCCATCGAAATTAACAGCGAGGCGTGTGTTCATAAAGTCTGCCGGCCGGTAGCGACACCAGGCAACGAACAGAACTTGGAGGGTGTCACGTGCGGTGCTCGCGCTCCAAACTCGAACACGTATCCAGAACGGTTGGGAAATATGGCACGGGTGTTATTGCCTCCGATTTCCTTTTTCCGACAGCAGACCAATAATAACGTGCTCACACCATCCCCTTTTCAATGACCGAGGCTAGGTTAATGTCTAAGTCTGCAATACAATCGTTCACAAATAACTTTGTCTGCGACCGTTGACATCGGATGCCCTCAAAGCTGTGAAGTACTTACGTAGAGTGAAATTTGACAACATCCAAAAATGTATCTGTCACGAACAACCGTCAATATAAACGCGACATCACGTGACGCGAGTGAGTGATGGCTGCATGTGAACTACCAGCTATAAGAGGAGCGAATCGACACAAATCTGTGACATGCAAGGCAAAATCACGCATGTCCTATTGCAGAACGTGCCGGAGGTAGTTTTGAGTGCGTACTGCTGTTTAGGTTTTAGGATTTCTGATGTTTATACGCACCGTGAAAAGACAATCATTGTTAGTTTGCTTAAGTTGTCTGACAAAGAGGCACCTGAAGCACGCATTATCTGAATTAATTGGGTCTGGCCGAAATCCGAACTTCCACCAAAACATGAAGGTTTTTGTTGGTTGTCAGCGACTTCCACCAATTGTTCGGTGATTTGGACCAAATGCCGCGAGTGCCGAGACAGACGCTGTCAAAGAGATCAACATCCCAGCCATGCCGCTAATCATAAGGTGGCGCAAAGGCACTAGACGTGCTATTCTTGCATATTAATTCCCGCTGAAGGGGTCATTTCGCCGAAAACGCACCGCAACACGCCACAATGCAGCAGCGTTCGCTTCGCTACATTCCGCAGCCTTACCCGACAAACTGTGTCTCGACTGCAGCGCATTTGCAGCGTGTAAGGGGACTCTGACCCGGGACTGGGTGATACCACGAATGAAACGAGCCTATTCAAAGTCATCTGCAGTTTCTTCACTTCCCGAAACATTCTAGTTCTTGCAGAATGCCATCATCGAAAGTACGCATCAGTTCAGACAATGGCGTATGCCTAATGGAAATACCACGCCCTGACTTCTCAGCGAAAGCGGAAAACTCTAGCGGTAGCTATTGTTCTAGCTTTTCCAACTCGTAAAGCATCCCACTTCTATATTAATATGATACCGTGGCAATAGCGTGGGCGGACTCAATGCACTGCGGGTTCACCTCGACTGTTCGGCGTTCCAAGAGCCCTCGGTTCCCGTGCCACTGTCATGATTCTACTCTTTCTGTCAGCCACCATCTGTTGCGATGAAATATGCATTTATTGGGGAAACCCGGATCCGGTTCTGCCAATCGCTGAGCCCATCTATTCAAAGCAGCTGTTAAGGAATATTTCTGCGCAACACATCGCGATGCAAACCACTCCCCAGTTGGATGACTGCTCCATATGACCGGGTCTACCAGCGCAGGCTAATTTGGTCCTTGCATCAGGCTGCCCCCAAAGAAGTGACAGCAGAGGTAATGTGGGGCGAACAGTGCTCAGAATAGCCGAAGAAAACCGACGGAGCGCAGAGTTGAAAGGAATCTCGGGATCCGCCCAACCTGCCTTCTCGACATCTTCCCGGCGCGGCGCCATCCTACACGCCGTGCGTGCGTCATCACAAGCGGCGTTCAATGCCCGCTATCTCCATTGGCTGCTTTTTTATGTTCGGAGCTCGCTCTAAAGGCTGGACTAAAGGCCTTTGCGGGGCGGATATTGGATATTACGCGGACCACCTCGCATGAGGGCTTTCACGCCGGTAGTTGCCGCTGTCTTATTAGACCACAAAAATGGTACCCAGCGGAGTGGCCATTTACTTCAAAGGAGGCAGACACTAGGCTGACAGCGTGCGCAGCCGTCGGTTCGTCCACTGAGGCGTTTGACGTCATAGTTGGCCGAAGCAGAACACCGCTGACCGAGTCCGGCTACGCCGCGTTACATCCGCTCGCGTCGTCAACCATTGGCTATTGAAATACGTGTCCAGTGCCGGAGCTTTAGCACGCTCACATACAGCCCGACAGCCCGCATAAGATGGCTGACGAAGCCGGCTCCTGCAGCCTCCAGTCCGGACGTGTCCCACGTTCCACATGCGGCAGGAGTGCTCCAGGCCCGCCTGAGCCCAGCCCCGGCACCGGACAGCGTCAGGGGCGCCGGGCGGGTTTGCAGGCGAGCCGGCCGGGCTGGGTCGGATAAGCTGCTATGCGGTGCGGTAGGCCGCCGCGAGCGCTGTCCGTCTGCAGCTCCCTGCGGCAGGCCCCCGCAAACATTGCCTGCAGCTCCCCGCGGCAAGCCGCCGAGGGGGCTGTTCGTCGGTAGCTCCCCGCGGCAGGGCCCCGCAAACATTGCCTGCAGCTCCCCGCGGCAGGCCCCCGCAAACATTGCCTGCAGCTCCCCGCGGCAGGCCGCCGCGAGGGCTGTCCGTCGGTAGCTCCCCGCGGCGTTGTCACTGGTAGCGCTGACTGAAACGGCGGTTCAGGATATCGAGAACGAGGGCAGACAGCAGAAGAGGGCAGGGACGAGGCGCGGCAGGATCAGAGACGGAGGGGAGCAAACCAAAACAAATGCAGACATGGAATGAGAACAAGGAATATGGAGGTCCATAAACCAGCGTTGAATGCAAACATGACAACGGATTACCATTGCGAAGGCACGCACTCATGCCAATGAAGTATTCTGTCTGTCTAACGGCGATATCACGCCACAGCAGAACGCCGGGCGCCCAGCGTGGACTCTGGACGGAGCGATGGGGGAGGGGGCGGCGGCGCCTCTGCAGGCCGACGAACCAGACAGGTGAAGCCGCCGGCCGGCTGCAGCGCATCGCCCGGGCCGTCAAGGTCAGGCCGCACCCCAGCCGTCTGCATGGCACAACGGGACGCGGGCTTTACGGGCCCGCTATGTGGAGACGAACGTCAGTGATCGAGCGTCGCTGGTGGGATCCGCAGCTCCGCAGCGATGTCAGCAGGAAGGCATGATCTACAACAGATTAACGTTCAACGAGATTCACCGCCAACCAAACATAGATCTACGAGCGCATCAGCCTTTCCCTACGCTTTCTTGTAAAGGCAGCAAGGAAATCGGGGCAACTGAACGGCAGCCATTCCAGTGAAACAGAGAAACTAATCCTCAGTCATCCTGACAAGCCAGACGCTGCACCTTGGCATTCTTGCTTCTTACTGTCACGTACTTTACAAGCAGCACACCGTTGCACACGCCGCTTCCTTCAAAATATGTATTCATATAGCAACAATCATAGCCGTGAATTTATAAATACGCAACGCCCGCCGGCGGCGCTCGGTGGCTCGCCGGCGATCAGCGAGCCCGGGGCCCGGCGCCGGCCGGGGGGGGCGGGGCACTCGGCGTCCCCTGGCGGTATGTACACGGCGGCGGCGGCTCAGGCGGCGCGCGCGACGCGGCCGCACCTAGACGAGGGATAAACAGGGCGGCTGGCGGCGGCGCGCGGTGCTTCACGTCCGCGGGCACGGCTGCCACCGCCGACGGTCAGGCACACATCACAATCGATCCGGCGCGTAACAGAAACCCCGTAGCAAACCAACAGGACCGGTGGCGCCATCACAGCGGCGCGGGCGACGGGGCCGGGCGCGCCCCAAACACAACTACCGGGGGGTCGGGTACAGCGGGGGTAAAAAGGGCTGCGGCGCGGGCGCGCCGCACGCTTCCGGGCGGGCCTCTGGCGCCGGCCGCCGGCACTATGAGTTCGCATTTCGGCCGCCGGGCGGCGCGCTACTCTATCTTGGTCTGACGTTTCTGGAGCGCCGCGGCCAGGTCGTTCTGCAGCGCCGCTTGGCGCCTCTGCGCTTCGAGCGGCGCCACCGAGCGCAGTCCGTTGACGATGTCCCTCGTCTTGCCTGGCCATCACAGAAGGGCACGGCTGTCAGGTAACGTTATCAGCACCTCCTATCAGCGCAACGCCACACACTTCGCGAGTTTATGTACATAGCGTGTAGTTTGCCACTGCGTTTCGTCCGAATTTCGGCACCCATCGGACATCATGGCGGAGATAGCACCTCTGAGTAACCGGCACCACGATCTGGTGGCCGACAACCTGCGCTGATATGGGGTACAAATACCCCGCATCACCAGCCCGGCCGCTCGGGTCGCGTGAGCTGGAGTAGCTATCTGCGAAACGAGCCGCCAGATCAATACAATCCGAGTGCGCTGCTGGCTATTTCAGCCCGTCCCCTTCCCGAGCTTCGATGCCCTGTCCCATTACAGTCGAATCAGAGGGTCCGACCCAGCCAACAGCCCCATTCTGGCGCCCGGCCAAGTTTGGCGTTTGCGTACGCTATCAATGGCCAAACACGCCGCCACCAATTACCGGCGACTGGCATTTACCCAGCAGACCAAAGCCGTGAGCCTCGACGCCAATGGCCGGTTCAAACGGCGTCTGGGTTGAACGCGGGCAAACACTGACAGACGGCGCGCCGGGCGGAGCGGGCCGGGCCGGGACACCACCGGGACGTGTGGCAGGGGCGGGTCCGAGCAGCGACCGAGGGATGGACCCGCGGACGGCGCGCACACGGCGGTCAGGGCGAGCCGCCCAGACTGCGGAGGCGCCGCTGAGTGACGAGGGGCTGAGTCAGCTGGTGCTGTATGAGCCATGCCATGTCAGCCACGGACCAGTGATGTCATCACGTCAGCTTTCGACGATTCTGCACACATTACGGCCGTGGTGTTGAGTTAGCTTTCAACGAACCCAACGCGCACGATCCTGGAAATTCGAAGACTATAGACTGAGATTACTTCGGAATTTGGAAAACTTCGGAACTAAAAAACAAACAAAACATGGAAGATGGGAAAGGTCACCCAGCACATGACCCAGACGACTCCCGGCCTGTTCTCCAGCCCACCTCCGCCTCCCGACACCGACCGATCGCGGAGGATCGCTCGGCTTTGCCAGCCAGGAGCAGGGCCCTCTGTCCAGACCGCTCCGAGGCGCGCCAGCTCCCTCCTCACCGAAATAGATCTCATTGAGCGTGTTGCGGATCTTGTTCTCCATGTCCTCAACGAGGCGGCCGATGTTGGCGATGTGCGGCGACGTCTCGCTCACCACGGCGTCCTGCTCCGTCTGCCGGACCGGCCACCAGGGGCGCTGTCAGCGGCGGCACGGGCGGCGAACACGGGAGAACGCGGCGTTGCGCGGCGGACGTCAGCGAACGGTGCACTCGGCCCGGTGTCGGGGCGGGACGCTGCGCCCCGTGCGCGTGCTTACGGCAGGGATCACGGTGGCACGAAAGCTGACAAGGTCACCAACTCACCCCGACAGCGGACGTTACGTCCAAGCGCGGGTCACCCCGTCCGAACGGCCCAGGCTCGTTTGGCGGTCACCGCGTGCGGGCGGGGCTAACCTGTCGTGTGAGAGAGCCGCCCAGGTTCATGGTGCCCGAGCCCTCCTTGTTGGTCTGCAGCCACAGCATGACGGTGGAGGTGAGCTTGTAGTGGGCGTTGCGGCCGGTCGACTTCTCCTGCACCTCCACCACGTGCACGGCGTCCCAGCAGCCCTTGATCTTCTTCGAGCCGTCGCCGGCCTTCTTTATCAAGATCGCCCCTGTGGGGTGGCGTGGAGTCGTCAGACGGGATCTGGGGCCGGCAAGGACTGGGACAGGGAGCAATTTGGAGACACGAGGAGGAATTAAGTGTGTCAGTCCCGAGGCTAAACATGCATGAAAGGCAGTTTTCGTGGGAGTTGCATCTTACTAGCCCATCTGGGCGAGCTATTGGACCCGCTCGCACGTCCTTTCTGTTGGCACTTTCGCAATGGTGAGCCATTCGCGGCAAATCTAGCCTTAAACTTTTCACAACACTCAGAACTAGAAATATCAACCCACAAAGCCTACCTTTACGCAGCAGCCCGTTATCTTATCAAGGAGTAAGACTGCGCGGCGTGCAGGGACCGCCCGCCTGCGCCTACCACGGAAAAGGTCATGCTGGCTCCTGCGCCGGCGCGCTTACCACGCTACACCCCGCACCCACAGCCGCGCCCGACCGCCGCACCTGCGAAGCCGTGGTCCAGGTCCCAGAGGTAGACGGACGAGACGCCGCCCTCGAAGTACATGTCGCGGTACTGGTCGAAGGCGGCGTTGGCGTCGATCTCTAGCCGCCGCAGCCGGTCCGACGGCATGGTGCCGTCGTCCAGCGGCGGGTCGTACGTGTTGCTCCACGGCGACCTGCGGGCGGCGCCGGACAAACGGTGAGTCGGCGGCGGCGGGATGGACAGTCCATCACTCCGGCCGAACGTTGGTGGGAAGCGCCGGAGCAGCAAACCCTCCAGCTTCGGGGCAAAATGAGTCCCACCGGCCCTTCAGCAGCTGTGGAGCACAGCTCTGCCCGTCCCCACGTCGATCAGCCCGTCCGAAGGCGCATGCACTGACGCGAGCACACCGCCCTCCCCGCTCACAACAAACACTCCAGCCGGACCACAGAGCATGAACGCGCCCGACTAAAGTATCCAAACAAGTACCCACACAGCCGTCCGACCCACACCAGTCCCCCGCTGGGTGGCGTCGGTCCGGTCACCTGTGCGGGTTCTCCGCCGGACGGCGTCGGCCCGCTCACCTGTACGAGTCGCCGTCCCGGTTGTAGTCGCAGAGCAGGTAGTCCTTGCCGACCGTCTTGTCGCGGGCGATCTTGAGCGGCTGGTCGACGGACGAGAGCAGCTCTTCGCACAGGCCCGGCACCAGGTCGATCAGGTCGCTGAGGTTCTTCTCGATCTGCTGCGGCGGCAGGCGCCGCATCAGGTCCAGCGCGCAGTCCAACTGCTGGTCCGTCTGGCGGGAGAGATCGGCGCCGCGTCAGGGCACGACGCTCGTGCGCGGGGTCCACTCACGCCCCGGCGGCGGGGTGGGGGGGAGGGGCACGCCAGGCCCAGACCCAGCTCACGCTCAGTCGACCTCGCTCGGCTCCTACCCGGCACACCGGTACATCACCGGGATAAGACGCCGGGATGACAGCACCGTTGCCTCACCACTGCGAAGGCGACTGCAGAAGCCACTCGCGGATACCAGCCAACTGCGGAGCTTCGCGAAAAGTTCGAAATGAATGACATAATGGAAGGACAATTGTTTGTGACGAACCACATCCACATAAGCACCATCCACGAATATGTCACAACACAAAAACGTTTCAGTTTTGAGCACATCCCAAAATCCGCGCTGCTGTTAGCCAATGTGGGTATGCAGGCACCTTGCTGCTATACATGTTTATATAATAATTTCAATCAGATTAACATCCCATTAATTAAGTGTCAAAGCTGCAAAACATCCTGGCTACAAGTCCATACAAAATATAACTTCTTCACAGCATGCTGTAGTGTGCAGCATGCCACTAGTTAAAAGTAAAACTTAAAACAGAGGTGAGCATATGATTCTAATACAGCGAGGCTTAATCAAAATTATGCCACTTCACAGTGGGACACGATCTAAATTGTGTGGTCATATAGCAGTACACATTATGCAACAACATAGCAGAATACAATCCTACCTATCCCACCACACACCAAACTAGAAATCCAAGATTACTAAGGAACATATTAGATACACATAAATGATGCAGCATGTTATAAAAACACATGTGATCCAGCACAATACATATGCATAAATGGGGAGAGGGGATGGGGCAGCACACATCCTGCCTTCCCATCCACCATTCACCATCATCAATGTTCCCTTAGCTCAGCCAGTGCAGCACCGCACTTCAGCCATCACATGGTAGACATGCTGGTTTGTACCCTAACAAACTGCACTTATGAGGTGTGTAAATGATGGCTCATTGGTAACTGGCTAGGACAGCCAAGTTGGCATGTGGCAGATGTATGCTCTGAATGTGTGATGATATCACACTTTTCTGTTTATTTAGGACAAATGATTTCACCCCGAAAGTGTGATCAGGGACATGATGACACATTGAGCTCACCAACTACTTGATCCAAAGCTATTTCTTTTGAACAGCTGATGACTGTTTTGCTGTTGAAAATGCCAACCAGTTAAGTCAAGTATCAGTTGGCTTAACTGTTTCTAAACCACAGGCAGAAGCCCTTAGTATTCTCTGTTCCATGAATTCAGAACCAACTCTTTAGGCTCACCAATATTACCCCATCTCAACTATGCAATGATAATAGTGCTGAATGAAACACTCAATGAAGTTCCATTGAAAATGCTCACAGAAAAAAGATTCATTGTCATACCAAGCAACTGCAGCCTCTGTAGAAATGTGGCAAAAATGGAAATACCAATTACATATACAACAATTAGATTTCTTCCAACCAAGTGTCATTAAATGTGGTACATCTGGTACTTCCGTCCCTATTGGTAGAATACTGGCAAGTATGATGATCTCTACATGCCTCAGACAGCTAAAATGACACTCCAGTGTAGTGTAAGATGTACAAAAATTGTGCCAACAGCATTGAGAAGGACAATTATGACATGAGAACAAGAAATGAGTGTATCACAAAATCCATGTCAATTATGACATGACTTATTATGGTCAGTTGCATATACTTCCACTTAGCAATATAGGGGCTGACAATGGAAGTGTGCTCTTTCAGCAATTACAATATCACTTTGTCAATGGCATGTGCCTTGCAGTGACAGCTGAGAAACATGGATAAAATCACGCTAAGTGTCATGGTATGGAATACTTGGACTTGCAATCTCATGATGCATTAAAATGTTTTTGAGGAAGACAAGTAGCCTACAGAACACTAAACAGCAAATGAGCTGTTGCAGGTTGATAATGTCCAATAACCTTAACCACAATTCTAACAGGTGCCAGAAACCAGGTTCCGCTTGCTCCTGCTGAGCTAGGAAAATGTTTGACTTGCAGTGCACCATCCATATATTATGCAATCATGAAGTTTCAAAAATGTGTCACCACCATGCTCTGCGATAATGTCATGCACTGAATCGCCAGATCACCCTTTTCAAAAATGATTTAAATCCAACATATTTTCACCTTGGGCTGGGGTTCATAAGTATAAATTACATGAGCAACATATTTATTTGATTACTGCACTAACCAGAATATTTTGTAAAGTTTTACTCACATACCAGCAACCAGAAAACCTCCCAGAAGAGATTGGTGCAAACCAGAACAGAAAATTATTTTAAGTAAAGTTGAGTCATGATTATCAGAATCTGGGCCTTTAAGACCACCCTCAATTCTTGAACAGCTGCAAGCTGCCAGTAATGCATATGCAGAACTCATGTTTGGGCAAAGGTTTATAGAACAGAAAGGCACTGCCAAAAAAAACTTCAAAGAGCAGATTCAGTATGACCAGACCATCAATGAAAAATGTGAGCAGTCTATATTATTGCATGCTGCAGCACATTCACCCACAAATCAAGACTGACTGCAACACTCTCTTGATAGGAGTGGAACCTTTTATTTTGGTTCTACATGGTGCTTTGACTGCTGCAGCTAAAGTCATAGCCTGTGCAGCTAGATCCCACGTAACACCCCAGGACTTACACCATGGACAACATACCATTCACCTAAAAAAGGCAAACATGAAAATGAGAGATCAAAGGAATCATGATGTGCATGGCGAGTGGCATTTGCAATCATGAATGATGGTAAAGTAAGGCACCAACCATCCAAATATAATGCTTTGAAAGTTGCTGCCCATAAAAATTAAATGATCATAAAAATATACCATGGCCTTCCAACCTTAACAGGAAAGCACCCTTTCAGAGGGCTGATCCATCACAGTGTGCTACAGGCTCCCAGCAAGGTGGTGAGGTTAGGGTGTTGGCATTAGTGTCAGCAGATGTGATTCATTCTCAGGTATCTCACACGTGTTCATTACCTGTAAAATACCCATAGAATCTCACAAATGTGATAAGAAATTATGGGGCGCGTACAGGACGATAATTTAGTCCTAGGCACAATATCACCATGCACTGAAAACTGGGTGAGGCCGGTAGACAAAACCAGCGCGCAAAGACGCTAGACATTTATACACTTTAGGCTGGCATTACAATCAAGTGGCGAAAGAGCACACAGTATGAGAATATCCATACTCACCATACTAAGGCAAGCTTGTCACAAATTGACAAAAGGATGGGAATGTGAACAGATTCGGACGGGTGGGCGGCCCGGATTTCAACCACCTAACACACCCAAACACAAAAAGCGTCGGCCTCGTCACAAACTTGCTAAGGAGCGCCGGCATCGGGCTTCCAAATTACTACCATATCCTTAATGAAAATGGTGTATACCTTCGTCTATAGCTTGCCCGGCGTAAAAAGATAGACAAAAAAACATCAGAGAATCGGTCTGGGCAATGTGAAAGGCTGATTTTTTCCAAACAGGGTGCCTATGGTGACCAACGGTACTTCAGAGGCAAATACACCAGACCACCTATGCTATTCCCACCATACCAGCACTCATGGCTTTGTCATTCCTGCTGCAGACCCCATTGTCACGTCGGCTGTGGGGGAGACAGGCGCGCAACCAGAGCCTTGGCAAATAGGGGTGGGGGTGGGGGGACACAGGGTTGACAAAGGGTCCCTGATAGAAACCACCTCCCCCAAGAAAATCGCTAGGTATGGCCCATCGCTTAATGACATCATGCATTCTCACACATTTTCCTTCATTTTTGATGACAGCCAGACACTGCCACGAGAGCAACTGTGACTATTTTGTAGTCAATACCGACAGAAATCATGGGTTAGGCTACTGTGCTAACCAAATCGCCAGCGCTCTCCCTTTCGCAATGGTGCAGTGGGCTCTTTCTAAACCGATAAAACTCTGAGGCTTTGTCAGAAATCTTATCCGGATTCTACAGACACATCAACACGCGCTTGGCTGGCCAATTGAATACCCTTTGCTCGGGTGGGGAGGGGATTCTTCGCCCCTCCCCCCCACCGAGATCTCAAAAACTAAGATAGCTACAGACACCAAATTTCCAGGGTGGGTTGGCCTGTATATAAACTCACTTTTGTCAAAAGTCGAGGGTGAACTGGGTGAGCTCATAACAATGGGGTCAAAAAGGCTAAACACATTCAAACCCCAGACTGGTGTGCCAAGTCACCCTAAACCTCCGCACACAACCGCCATAAACCTAGATACCTGTTCTAAGCACAAGGTCAATGGTGCTTGATCAAAGCCAGTAACCATTGTTTCATCTTGACAAGATTAAGGTGACCAAATGCCTTAAAGCTTGCTCCTATTTTGCCATTCAAACAAGTGCTAGGGATTAGGCTGGGTGACATATGCCTAACAACAAGCTGTTGACCTGGGCCATTTAAGGTCAGTGACCTACTCCGGCGTTTGTAAGCCCGTGTAACATGTCTGTTGCGGTCACTGTCATTAAAAATTTGAAATGATCACCAGCAACTACCTACCTACTATTACCGAATATACCAAGCTCCCGAGAAATAAAAGTTTAGCCTTAACCTCGGCCTCACCTTGATACCTGACCCTAGTTCAATTAAATTTGTTATAATTGTAAATAAATTAGTTTATTGGCTGAGAACCTTTCTTAGCTATGTATGGCTCCGTCTAACATTCCGTTGTCGCATCACATTTAACGATTCCCTAGAAATGCCCTTCGCTGACAGGCACGGCCTGATTATGACCTGACATAGGTCAGCAACCTTGCAAGGTATATCTAATTTGTACACCAAGAGATATACTATCTAACTCCCTACGCCTATGCAAAATTTGGCACGGCTACGCCGTGTCGTTCGGAAATCATTCTGGAAAAACTTTGGGTGATCAAATTGACTCCCACGTCACCCGGGCGCGCGTTAAAGACCCCCACGAATATGAATTGCGGATCGAAATGGGTCATCAGTTTATGTGAACATGACCAAGCCATGTTTTTCTGGAAATGTTCAATATTCCGTCGAAATCGATGAGTGATGCAAGTTATGTAACGTGGCTCGGAACTTGCGCTCTCGCAAATCTTAGCTGCAGTATCCTTGACGCCAAGCGTTGCAGTCTCCGTGGGCCGCGCGGCGTGGCTCCGTGGCTAACAGTAACTTGTGGCCAATAGCTGACAAAAATAATATCGCGTCTGAAAGAAGTACCTTCAAACGCTTTATGGCGTCCAGTAGTACGTCTCGAAGGTAGTGCGGGCGTATGTTTCACTGGTGCAAGTTTTAGATTGCTGACAGGGACAAATTGACCTTTAAAGTACGGAGAAGTGATGCTGGAATTTGGTGATGGAACTGGAAGGGTAAAGGCAGAATCATCATTTTTCGTGCCGCTGTAACTGATAATCTGTCCAGAGGACATCCTCAAAGTTGGAAAACAGATACACCCAGTCCAAACTCTGAGCGGTGCGAATTAACTTTGAAAGTCTCGGAACCATTATTTCACAACGGCTGCTCTCGGACGCACGGCGCCCGCCACCTGGTGCTAGTGGCAGCGGCCAACACGATTCGGCTGTACGGAAACTACAACCTAGGCCATCGCTGTCCCTGCTCCCGAGATTGTGGGCGCGCAGGCCCAAACCTTTTCATGTAATTTGCTCCACCAGTCGGTTCTGCGAAAAATGAAGGTTCTCAGGCAAACATGGAATGGCCTTGTTCGTTTCTCAACTCATTCTTACGCGCTCTTTTCAATACTAATGAGACCGCTTGTTTCCAAACGGGTGAGGGGGCACATTACTTTTCCCGGCCAAAGGCTGAAGGGCCATTCTGTCCCACCGCGAGGGTGTCCTCCGGTTGCCATTCTGGCGACGCGGGGCATGATCCCCTGGTCGATCCCGAGACCCTTAGAGGAATACAACATATCACATTCGTCCCATCCCTGACCCTCGAAAACTTCCGAACCTCGCAGTTGACCACGGATCGACGCAGGAATGCAATTGACGCAAAGGCCCTCTGACTGGCATTTGAGATCACAGCCACACGAGCAGGAAGTCATCCTTGGTGTGAACTACGGCCAGCCCTTCGGGCCTGTACGTCCTCTAACCGGGCCCTTGATCGTCGGTTCTGGTGGGCCGTCCGGACCCTTTCCGGGCCTCATCGAGCACTGCGCGTGGTCGCCTCGGGGCCTCTTGTAAACACAGGGCCCTCTGCTAGGAACTGTGGGGCCCTGAAAGATGCAACGGCCCCGACTAGTATAAATCGCTGGCCCCAGCTTTGCAGCTGATTTGGAAGTGGGCCCTCAGACCCCAGCTAGCACGAATTCGACTGTGCGGCACTGGTGTTGCCTGACCAGCATTTAGGCCCATGTCGACTCAAGATGCTCCCGATCGGCGCAGAGGGCCCTCTGACTGTGATTTGAGGGCCCGTCCCCGCAGGCCAGGGCCCCTGAATAAAATTCCGACCAGCCCTTCGTGCCCTTAGAACTCCGATTGGGCCCTTGATCGTCGGACCCAGTGGGCCCTCCAAGCCCTGCTGGCCTCCTCGAACACTACCTCTGGCCGAATCGGGGTCCCTTGCCAACACAGGGCCCCGTTAGGTGCTATGGGGTCATGACGTACGCTGGGGCCCCGGCCAATGTAAATCCCTGGCTCCAGTTTTGTCGCTGCTTGGGAAATCGGCCCTTAGGCCCATGCCACCACGAAGCCGACTGTGCGTTACTGGTGGTGCCTGACCGACAAATAAGCCCTTGTCGATTCAGGGGGCCCCTGATCAGAGCCCAGGACTCTCTGACTGGAATTTGAGTGCCGGGCCCGCGGGGCCGGGGACCTTGAACGCGGCATACGGCCGACCTGTCTCTTATTCGCCTGGGCCTTCTCCCCCGTCGCCGTTTAACAGGAGAGCTACTCATTATGAGGGATGTGCCTGTTTCCGACAGCTTTCGTCTTTTCATGGCACGAAGACAATTTGCAGAGGGGGAGTCATCTATTAGACTCTTGGGTTACGGTGTAGCCGCTGTGGTGGTGCTGAAGTGCTGTGCCGATACTACTGAGGTGCCGTTCTGCGGCTGCGCCGGCGCTGCCAGGGCGCCGTGCTACGGTTGTGCTGTTGGGATGCCATGCTGCGGCCGTGCCGGTGCTGCCAGGGTGCCATGCCACGGCTGTGCTGTCGGGGCGCCGTGCTGCGGCCGTGCCGGTGCTGCCAGGGTGCCGTGCTGTGCTGACGCTGCCGCTCCTCACGCTCCACACGCCCTTCAGCACCTTCCATCTCATGACAAAGCACAGCGTCGTGACGGAAGAGCTGTGGGCTTTCCACACGAACATGGTCAGAGTTGGACGGCACAATTCCACTGGACTGGAATCCACTGGTGGCGTTTTCCGGTCCTGAAGCACGATCTTGTAGACTCGTGAGAACAGACCGCCTATGTCTATGCCTGTGATCCTTCGGCCTGGGAGAGCGCCGGGGAAGATCTTTGCTTGCTGGCCCAGGCCGCTTTGAGAGCCCCGAGTACGGTCAGTTCGAAACACTGCAGGACGTGTGAGCAGTGCGGCGGTGTGGTCACGACATCTACCCCATGCTTTCACGCTAAGGCGACGACGTCCAGACTGACATGGCTGCTGTGGCTATCCAGAACTGGCAGAGCTTCTTCGTCAGACACTGGAGCGGCATGCTTGACGAAGTGCCGAAACCAACGTACCGAAAATCAGTGGCTGTTCCAGCCGTTGTCGCTGACGGCGTCTGCAGTGCCGACGTGAGCGTCTTGGCTAGCGCCGGATTCTTCTTTTTTCCCACAGAAGGTCATCATTGGCGGGACTTCCACCCCTGCTGCCCTGTTGCGTCCTGTATAATCGGCAGCTCGTTCCGATCTGTTGTCGTAAGTTGGAAACCTTCCGTTGTCCTCGTTCGGCCACCACTTTCTGGTTGTCGGGCACAGGGTTCAAGCAAGTTTCATCAACATTGTGCACCCCGCGTAGGGGTACGGTCCGTGCTCTGGTATTCCGCGAGCAAGGTTGCCGTAGAATTTCCGCACTTTGTTCTGGTTGACGCTTTTTTACCTTGCCCCACTGAGCCCTTTGGTTTTCTGAGCACAATTTTCGGGTGCCTTTTCAGAAAGCCAGTCACCTAGTCCGGGCCAGTACAGGTCTTCTAGTGAGTGAAGGGTTGCTGTATCTTCTGTCTTTCGACGCCTTCGCATGCAGCGCTGGCTGACACCTCACTCGTTATGCCAATGTATATGCTGGGAAGATACAGAACACTCACTGCTCCAACTCTTCCCCAAAATCGTTGGACTTGACTGTCTGCTTGCCGGAGCAGTGGCGGTGTA